GGCTGTGGGGAAAGGTGCCATCTTCGATCCAGCTGCCCTAAGCGAACCCTAGAAAGGGAAGGTGAATGATCTCAGAAGGAAAGTGCGGCTAACAGCACCGCCCAGCAGCAGCAGGAATACGACTTTACTATCAGACACTGCAACGGGAAATGGCGAGGAAACACAGATGCGTTGTCAAGAAGACCTTGTCCTGAAGACTGCAAACATTGTACTAGGCAAAAGAGTAAGGAAGTGGTATCCGTGAGGATGCTCAGGACAGACCACGTCAGCCACGAGTGGAGGGACAGCTTACAACGTGCACAGCAGGAAAATCCGGACATCAAGCCGATTCTGTAATGGATGAAGGCCAGTGCTCCCAAGCCCAAGTGGAACGACGTCTCAGCGATGAATTCGACCACTAAAAGCTATTGGGCCCAGTGGGACAGCTTGCTGCTTCAGGATGGAGTTCTGTGCCGTAATGGGAAAATGTTCGGGGAGACAGCTGTCATTTGGAAATGGTTCTCCCTAAAGCAAAAGTACCGGATATTCTACAGTTGTATCATAATGATTGTTCAGGAAGCCATGTGGGAGTTAAACGAACTCTACTGAAGATCCGAGAATGGTTTTACTGGGTCCATTCAATTTTGTAAATATCAATTTCGTAAATTTTGGTAATTCAATCGGCAGTTTTTATTGTCACGAACCTCAAGCTCGTAACAATATCCTCTCCAACAAATTGCTTTGTTTATTATCCTTTCAAAGTTCTAGGTGTTCCCATCCATTACATCTTATCAAAGTTTATAATACAATAGCTGAATATAATATTATAACCCATAAATTGCTACATATGGAAGATTTTGCTATTGTTGCCTCTCTTGGGAGGCGGGTTGGCAACTGCAGTTTTTATACATTTTTTTTTAATTTTGAGTAGTTATCAAGAATATATTGCTGCCCATCTCCTGTTTTAGTTTAAGTTTTGCCTCTGTCGTCATCCTTCCCACATTATACGACACCGACGGGAAGATATGGGGAAGTAGGTATTCTTTTGGGTGTTTCCTTGTATACGCATTTGTGGGATAAAATACTCTCTTAATATTGTAATCGTTGTTCTTTAATTAATATAGTAGAATCCCGATTATCCGGATCAAATAAAACCAGGGGTATTCCTTGAAATAATACTAGTTTTTACGGAATTTATCGCGTATATTTAACTTTTTAAATACCCGACGTTTCGAGAGCTTTACAGCACCCATGGTCACGGGAAGGACTGAGATGTTCAACGTCCAGATGTCATAGTTAACCGCGGTTACCGTAGATTAAAATTTAACTTTTGTTCCGATCTACACAGTATGAACTTATGGTATCATGAAGTCTTGCAGTTGTATGCTTGGGTTGGGATTTAATTTAATTTATTATAGGATCCCAAGCAGATGGTAGCACCCAGCCATCTTTTCTATTGAAATTAGGATGTTTTTTGATTTCAATAGCCTCGCGAATCATCCTTGGAAGGAATCGGTGTTCTTTAGCGAGGATTTGTGGTCTATCAAATCTGATGTAGTAACGGGGGCGATCCTGTACGTGTTCACAGACTGCAGACTTCCCGGATCTCGCGGATTCCCAAATCAAAATCAGCTGAATGCAAAGACGTAACTACTGATAAAAACTGAATCTTCTTCGGCGCTAAAGTATGTTTTCCCTCTTGTCGTACTCCTCTAACAATCGCTCGTCCGCTTCAGTCCTCGTGAATTCCATGTCTTGTGAGATTTGAATCTTGCTAACCATCCACAGCTCGCCTTGAAAGAAATATCACCATCAAGCTTTTGATTAAAATTCATTGCTTTTTCACATAAAAGAGATATGTGCTGGCATGCTCTCTTTTGTAAGAACCAGGTAAATACTGCGTTCTTCAGAAATTGATAGTGAGATTTATTTATGAGTTTCCGTTGCGAACCTCCATCTTTTTCTCAAGAGCGAAGGTGAATTTCATTATGGAATCAGAATTCTTTGTAATGTCTGATATCGTAGAAGTTCCTACACCACATATTTAGTTCCTACACCATATATTTGCGTCAACTTAGGAACTGCCAGATTTACCACTTTATATCATCATCATCATTGCAGCCCTTCACAAGTCCACTGCTGAACATAGGCCTCCTCCATGTACTGAGCCACCTGCATCCATCGACTTTATGCATATCTTACCAGGTCGTCACTCCATCTAGTGGGTGGTCCCTTTCTTCGCCTATCGGTAGAGGCTGCATAGAGAACCTTTCTTCCCCATCGGTTATCGGTTCTTCGAGCTATATGGCCGGCCCATTGCCACTTCAGCTTACTTTACTTACCACTTTATATACCTACTCTCAATTATATTCAGTTTTCCTTTAAAAGACAACACTACTCTTTTCCGTTTGGAAATTTTAGATTTCGAATGCAAAACGTAAACAAAAATAAAAGACAACCTATCAGTTTAGCGATATCAAAGAAAATGAAACAATAACAAACACTATCACGCAAACAAATGAGAGCGGGAGTACACTTCGGAGGGGGGAATAAGCTCGTCTTAACATAACTTCTTTAGCATCTTTGTGATTTAAAGTATATGAAACGAAAAAGCGACAGTAAAAAGAGACAGTCACATAAATTCATAAGGTTTAACGTGGGAGAAAATGAGATAGGAAGCATTATTGCTCAACTTGCGGGAAAAAAGTCGTAAACGCCGCCGAAACGCCGTCTCTTACGCGTTCAGCAAGGTGCGATGGTGTCGTGTGTCTATAGAAACAAGCAGTGAAGATCGGCCAAACCTCAATTTCGTAATAGGTAAAATTGATATAAATATTTTTGTAATTAGTGAGTACTATATAAGGTATATCGAAAAGAGTATGGACATTCGAAGGGAAATTAATATACTCGTCGCAAAAACTAGTGGCTATACCGTACTTTTAAAAGTACAATGTAGAAGACTTCTTTAGGTATTTTAAATGTGGGCGGATTAAAAAATCTCGTTTAAATAAAATTAGTAATAAAATAAATGAGTTCAAGTAATACTAATTTGAATAAAAAAAGCCATCATAACCGGTAGTAGGTAGTTTCGTGCGTTTCCCATCTGTACTCAATTCGACTGTATGTTTTTTTATGTACCCAGAAAAAAGTTGAACTAATTTTAATGGTTCTTTTTTATTTGCAAGCTTCCCGTGTAGTCCCATATAAATTTGATCAAGATCTGACCAGTAGTTTTTGAGTTATCCTTAAAGATTTTTTTTTATAGGATAGGGTGACAAACGAGCACACAGTCCACCTGATGGTAAGTGGTTGCTGCGGCCCATAGACATCTACATCTATCTTCCATTACAAATCAAAATGCAGATGCGTTGTCACCCGTGAGGACTGAGATGGAATGCCTCATTTCCAGTAAAAACGCTTTCACGCTGGTATTCTGTGAGAGCGTGGTCCTTCCCCGGTCGAGCCGACCCATTCGTGCTACAACTATACTACTAATATAATTGCAGCATGGCTCTACCACGTATATAATGCGTATTTAATTGACTGCGAATACATTGATTCGGTCGTACTTATTGAAGTCGGTTGTACAAAATTTTTAAATTTACCACTTGTTTGTGAAAACACAACACAAAAAATTAAATGAAATGTTTACGTTCGCTAAAACGCAATAGAGTAATTCAAGCTCATAAAGATAAAAACTTCAAACGCATGATAAATTTTTGAGACTGGTTTTTTTGTCATAAGGACAAGCTTAGTATTGGAAGCATTTCTATTTTGGCGAGTACGTCGATCTGACGGACGATGAGCGCGGAACGGGCCGCCAACGCTTACGCTCTGTTGCAAGATCTCTAGTTCAGTCAACGCGTATGTTCCTTATATCAAACACGTTAGAAGTTGACAGTGAGCATAACCACAGACGTGTTATTTCAGTTCAATATAATTCTAGTATTCGTGTGAGTTACTCAAGTGTATAAGCTTTGTGCATTGTGACCTTGGATCACCTAGTGTAGCATATCAAAGTGTATCAAAAGCAGCAATTCAAATTATTTGCACGTTGTGGCGTTAGGTCAAGGTTATGTCATTCCATTTCATTTAAAATTTTAATTTTTGTTTAGAATACCAGCTAAACGAATTACTTTTATGTCAATTAAAATAAGCTTTAAAGTACAAATAAAAGCTGGAACACCTTATTCAAAAATATTACCCTATTACATTGTACAAATCTACAAACACGCGTTATAATAATAAATTTTAAACAGTTCATTCCGGTTTGAAGGCCACGCCATGTTGACTCGACCAATGTCAATTCGATATAAAAATCATGATGAACTAATGATTTTAATATTTCAATGTATTTAAAGAAATCAATTTCAATAATTTATTTTTGCTGCATTGTTAATACTAAACAATTTGATTTCAAATATTATTTATTAAGTTTTTTATTCTTATTCATTATAATATACCATTCCTCTTAACCCCTGTAACCGGGAAGGCACATGTCTAGTAGTGAACTTTTTAAGGTTGATGAAGAAGAAAAAATAAGTAGAACCTTTATTGCATAAAGTTAGTTAAGCTTAACAACGCTGAAGTTAATTTTACAGCTTTATTAAGTAGTACTTTACAGTTTTAAGGCGTGGATAATGTTGTGCTAAATTTATAGATTATAAATTAATTCATACTTTAATAAAAATAGCAAATGTCTACTCCATTCGCGCGATATAACTGAAACAAAAACAAAGTGCTTCAGTCATTTTGTCTGATCTTATTTTATTGGTATAGCAGGTGATATCACCGTATAACGGCTGTACACACAAGTAGCCGGTGCGCCGCTAATGTATGCGGTGAGATACCATAATGTTTGCTTTGTGATAATAATGTCGGGAGAACAGCGGGCGTACACAACCGTCAACGCATTTCTTGCCACAGTGCCAACCACGTGCTCATTGTGACTCGTTTCGGAGCGTATGGATGTCAGTGATGACGTCAGTTGATTGTTTTGAATCAGACTATTAACGGAGTTAATGGTGACGATAGTGCGTGAAACGAATATACCGCATAGTGCGTCTGAATATCGGTGCGCCGATATGTTGTTGCATGGTGGCGAGGCAGCGAGAGGGCCTGTACAACGGAGGCGCTCAGGTCTCTTAAGAGTTCAATGCTCTCTTGGAGCACGGGAAGGGGCGGGGCGAGCTGCTCGCAGACCTCGCCCGCCCGCCTGCATGTTGAGACTCTTTCTAACTGTGAAGATGACTCAAGTGACTGCGATGCCAAAGGCGCGCTGCTCGCGGGCGCCGCCGCCGTGGCTCGAAGACGATACGCCGTAAAAGTCAAAAGGAGACCCAAGATAGCCTTCAGAGTTGTCAGGTACTTAAGTAACAACTCTTATTTGTTAATCGCATATTAATATTAATTAGGAGAGAGAACCTTATAAAATTACCATTAATTGAACATTTATCGATGTAAGTCCTGCATTAAATGGAATAGGAAAAGCATTAAAATTCCTGGAAGGAATTCCATCCATCCACTAGCCTGTTGAACATAGTCCTTCCCTCAAATTGCCTCGCCTCGGTAGGGGATATTTGTATAGTAGCTACGCTTGGCAGATTTTTACTTTCTAGTTGATGTTAGGAAGATGCTACTGCCCATCTCCTGGTTTACTACAGTCTGCACCTCTTACGACATCCACGGGACGATATGAGGTTGAGAATATTCTTACACCGCTTACCGTGTGTTGCTGGTAGTAATTATACAGTACAGGTACAAATTCTCAAAAAGTGTGCTGGTACACCTTACTCCGTGCTTGGTAACCGCGAGCACTTTATTACATCATTTTTTTAGTTTTTCAACAATAAAATGAAATATTTTACGTAACCCTTATTTTTACCAACTAATGAACTGAAATATACTCCTGAAAAATAACGATCTTACGAGATTTAAGTTTTTTCCTTTCTTTTTCCTTTCCATTTGGTTTTTTATTTTTGCGATCTTTATTATTACAGCAATACAAAATATAATTATTTCTATAAATTAAAAAAATATAATTACTTGTGAATCTAATATACTTACCTATATAAAAACTAATTTTTGTTTGTTCGTATTTTATGCGCTGCCATACCGTTCATCACATTGCGGTAATACTTTGTCAACATATTGCTTGCACTTCCGCGAAGGTTATAGGCATAGTTGACCCGGTAGGTGGCGCTGTTGTAGAATGCAGATATTACCCGTGCGAAGCTGGGGTAGGTCGCTTGTTAACTTTAAATTCAAAAGATTCATTTCTGAGGGTTCAATGTACGCAAGATGGGAATCTGCATTTATAACTTCCATTCATAAAAAAGGTGCTAAAAATCAAATTAAAAACTTTCGTCCTATCTAATCGCCACAGTGTTTGAAAGAATTGTATATAATCAGTTACATCCTGCAATCAAACACACTCTTATACCTCAACAAGATCAACTACATCTAACCTTTTACTATTCACGGATTTTGTTACTTACAACATAGATAAAAGAATAATACTAGTTTTTACGGAATTTATCGCGTATATTTAACTTTTTTAAATACCCGACGTTTTCAGAGCTTTACAGCACCCATGGTCACGGGAAGGACTGGATGTTCAACGTCCAGATGTCATAGTTAACCGCGGTTACCATAGATTAAAATTTAACTTTTGTTCCGATCTACACGGTATGAACTTATGGTATCATGAAGTCTTGCAGTTGTATGCTTGGGTTGGGATTTAATTTTATTTATTATAGGATCCCAAGCAGATAGTAGCACTAGGCACTGAACATCGACGTAACATAGACGAATAGTCATGGATACGTCAGATTATAATTCTAATATACAAGAACTTTTGTCGGATGTAAGAACTTATAAAAAGGTTAAAACGACGCAACAAATAGCACACTAAAAACAACTAGTGACCTCATAAAGAACCACTCCGAAAAATTAAATCTGGACGTAAAATGGATAATACCTACGTGCGCCAAATCACCAAAGTTCTATGGGTTACCAAAAATACACAAGCCTAATGCTCCATTACGTCCCATAGTGAGCCAAATCGATTCACAACTTACAAATTGGCTCAACACTTAGCGAAAATACTCTCACCGCTCATTGTTTACATGCTTACCTGTTGAAGACTGCATCTCAATTGTAACTAGAAGGCTAGAAGAAAACAACAAGCCCTTAGAATATGCAGTATTACTCAGACACTGCCTTACATCTGGCTACCTATTGTGGAAGGAGGAGTTCTACAAGCAAGTAGATGGTGTGGCGATGGGCTCACCTGTATCTCCCATTGTCGCCGACATATTCATGGAAGACTTTGAGGAGAAAGCCCTGCTTACTTCTCCCATAAATCCAAGATTCTACAAGTGGTACGTAGACGACACTTTCACAATTCTACCTTTAGATAAAGTAACTGCATTTTTAGACCATCTTAACTCTATAAATTCTAAAATTCAGTTCACAATGGAGTTAGAGGCAAACAATTCCTTAGCTTTTCTAGATGTGGTAGAGCCACGCGGCAGCTTTGCTGTCGCACGTATGGGCCGGCTCAAACCGGGGTGGTACCACGACCTCACAGAATACCGGCGTGAAGTGGAAGCTCTGCTTCCGCGTTTCGTCTGGTGAGTGCAGGTGGCCGGAGGCCCAAATCCCCCCCCCCCCATCAACATGGTAGCGGAATTAAATGATAGACTACCCCAGGAGGGTACCAGCACCCCTGGAGAATCCCTCGCTGAGCATCCACGACCACGTTTCTCTACTTCTGAGCGTGGGTGCTCAGGCTGCCCCGCGTATTCTGGGGGGGGCAATATTCCGCTCAAGACTAAAACTGCTCGGGGCAAACGGAGCAGCAAGACCAAGGCGACCCCTGCCACGCTGTCCGTGAATTTCTGCAATATCAGGGGACTTCACTCTAACCTAAACGCCGTCCACTACCATCTCGAGACGGCGAGGCCGGCTCTGCTCTTTCTGACCGAGACGCAGGTGTCCTCTCCGGCTGATGTCTCGTATCTCTCCTGCCCGGGGTACAAACTGGAACACTCCTTTGTGCCTCGGGCTGGAGTTTGCGTTTACGTCAGAGAGGACATCTGTTCTCGACGCCTCGGCAGACTTGAAGGTTCGGACCTGTCCATCCTTTGGCTACGCGTAGACAGCGACGACCATCCGCGCGTCTACGGGTGCCTCTATAGGTCCCATAGCGGTAATGCCGAAACAGACCGACTCTTCGACCACGTCCAAATGGCTGCAGATTCGTTGCTACAGCAGATCCCCTCCGCAGAGATCGTGATCCTCGGCGACTTTAACGCCCATCACGCCGAATGGCTCGGTTCACGTTTAACCGATCATGCGGGGAGATCTGTTCATGATTTTGCCTTGGCATATGGTCTGACACAACTGGTTACTTCGCCTACGCGGATTCCAGATGTGGAGGATCATGCACCTTCCCTGTTGGACCTTCTGCTGACCTCTCACCCGGACGGATATCAGATTTCCGTTGACGCCCCTTTAGGCTCCTCGGACCATTGTCTTGTCCGGAGTGTGGTGCCACTCACGCTGAAATCGCGGTTGCATTCTGCAGTCTGCCGCCGTGTTTGGCACTATAGGTCAGCCGATTGGGATGGGATGCGGTCTTTCTTTGCATCCTACCCTTGGGGGCGGGTTTGCTTCTCGCCGGATGATCCCAACGTTGTTGCGGATTCTGTCGCTGATGTGGTACTTCAGGGTATGGAACTTTTTATTCCTTCCTCTGTGGTGCCCATTGGAGGCAAATCTCAGCCATGGTTTGGTCGCTCCTGTAAAATAGCATCATGTTATAAGCAGGAGTGCTACCGAGCCTGGGCTGACGCATCAGCGTCCAGGGATGTAAACACCAGCGCTCTAAAAAAGAAGTATAATTCCGCCTCTAGGTCCTTCAAAAGAGTCATTGCCAAGGCAAAGTCAGAGCACATAGGCAGAATTGGCGAGAGACTAGTTCGTCTTCCTTCTGGAACCCGTGCATTCTGGTCTCTCGCCAAGGCTGTCCAAGGGAATTTCTGTCAGCCATCTCTTCCATCTCTGCACAGGGAGGACGACTCACTGGCCCACACCGCAAAGGAGAAAGCCGATCTTCTAGGCTCTTTCTTTGCGTCTAACTCGACTCTCGATGACGGGGGGAGTACGCCGCCGACCATCCCGCGGTGTGAGTGCTCCATGCCGGAAGTGCAGTTCACTCAGCGCTCGGTTCGCAAAGCACTCCTCTCCCTGGACATCCATAAGTCGAGTGGGCCTGATGGAATCCCCCCAATTGTGCTGAGGACGTGTGCTCCAGAGTTGGCACCGGTTTTAACGCGTCTTTTCCGGTACTCCTACTCCCTAGGCGTAGTCCCAAAATCATGGAAGACGGCTTTCGTCCACCCGATCCCTAAAAAAGGCGACCGCTCAGACCCGTCCAACTACCGGCCTATCGCCATCACCTCCTTGTTCTCCAAAACAATGGAGTCCATTGTAAACTGCCAGCTCATGAGGTACCTTGAGGATCACCAGCTGATTAGTGACCGCCAATACGGTTTTCGCCGTGGTAGGTCAGCTGGTGATCTTCTGGTCTACCTAACTCACAGATGGGCGGAGGCAGTAGAGTCCAAGGGGGAGGCATTGGCCGTTAGTTTGGACATTGCGAAGGCCTTCGATCGGGTTTGGCACAAAGCGCTTCTTTCGAAGCTCCCTTCCTATGGGCTTCCCGAGAAATTGTGCGATTGGATCACCAGTTTTCTTGCAGATCGGAGCATCAAGGTCGTTGTAGACGGTGCAAGCTCCGATTGCAAGCTTATTAATGCTGGTGTTCCACAGGGCTGCGTGCTATCGCCAACGCTGTTTCTTCTGCATATCAATGATATGTTGCAAACCCGTAGCATTCATTGCTATGCAGATGACAGCACTGGTGATGCTCTTTACACCGGCCGAGCCAATATTTCTCGGGAAAACGTCTCTGAGTGCCGGGACAAACTTGTGTCTGAAGTCGAGTCTCTGCTGGACAGAGTCTCGGATTGGGGGCGACTAAATCTAGTCCAGTTTAACCCCCAGAAGACACAAGTTTGCGCGTTAACCGCTAAAAAGAACCCCTTTGTCGTATCCCCTCAGTTTCAAGGCACTCCCCTTGTTGCCTCAGCCAGTATCGGAATCCTCGGCGTCGACATATCGAGTGACGTGCAGTTTCGTGGTCACTTGGAAGGGAAGGCCAAATTGGCCTCTAAAAAGCTTGGCGTGCTCAGCAGAGCGGGACAGTATTTCATGCCGGCACACCGCCTGCAACTTTACAAGGCGCAGGTTCGGCCGC